CAGCCAGGCGGAGATGTACAACATATTCCCTCTCTCAGGCTTGACAAGCTCGTAATGAGCCGTAGGAGTGAGAAATGGAAACGAAACGAATACGGACAGGCGGTGATTGGGAAGAAATAGCCCACGGCCCGTTGGAAAAGATTTTCAGGGAGCAGAGACCTCGGTGGGCGTTTGCAGAAGCCCAGGAACCACAAGGAACCCCAGAAGCGTGTTTAGAAATGTCTGAGCATCCCCTCTGAGCCCCCCAAAAATATACGTGGCTGTTTTTCTGGGTGCTTATGCACGCACACGTATGTACGCACACACGTATGTACACACACACAGAGACACGGTTCCCAGCACACACGTGCAAATGGTCCCAGCCCAAAACTCCCCTGCGGGAATCCCACCCCCATTTACACCCAATAATTGACCCACTCAGAAACCTACCCCAAATCTACACACACACTCGCCCTTGCGCTACGATATTCAGTTTTCACTAAAAAAAAAAAAAATAAAACCTGGATATTTTTTCTCTAAGACAAAACCTTCCAGCTCTGACGGGACCAGCAAACCATCCAAATCCTAAACCAAAAGTTACTCCAGCCCGGAGATGACGGAAGGGCTGATGGAAACGTGGTTTTCGGGATCCACGGAGATGCGCCCTCGAGGTTTTGAGTTTGCAATAAACTGCACTTAGTCCTTAGAGCAGGACTGAGCCTGGGTTGGGGTTTAACTGCTCCCTGAGATCAGCTTCAGAGACAGGGATCGAGACCCAGGACCGGCGCAGGAGCGCGTATCCCAGCTTCCTGCGCCCCAGCTGCTGTCGCCACGACTCCAGCACCTCGTTCAACCTTCTCCATCCCCTCGTTCAACCTTCTCCATCCCCCTCTTGCTTTCATTTCTTTCCTCCCTCTGCTCTTCTCCCCTTCCCGGGATCTCCTTTCCGGTGCTCAGCCGTGGAGGGACCAATCCTGCCCACGGGAGAAGCCCATCCGTGGGTGACCACCACCTTGAGTCCTTGGTGGCCAGCTCAAGGCTTTGCTGCCACCGTCATGTCACCCTCCGTGCTGGTGGTGCCAAACACAGTAACCCTCCCCGGAGCATCGCTCCAACCGCGGCGGCTCCCGGCGGCACCCGGCTGTGAGTATGAGCTCCAGGGAGGCTCCGGGGCTGGGAGATGGAGGGATGGTCGCCTCCGGGGTTGGGAGATGGAGGGACGGTCAACTCTGGGGTCGGGAGATGGAGCGATGGTCAACTCTGGGGTCGGGAGATGGAGGGATGGTCAACGCTGGGGTTGGGATATGGAGGGATGGTCGCCTCCGGGGTCAGGAGATGGAGGGATGGTTGCCTCCGGGGTCGGGAGATGGAGGGATGG